TTTTTTTTTTTTTTTTTTTTAATTCTTCTTTATTGGTTTCAAGGAGCTCTAGTAGCACAGTGCCTAAGGCATCTGACTGCTAACCAGAAGGTTGGTGGTTCAAATCCACCAGCCACTCTACGGAGGGAAGACAGGGCAATCTACTTCCATAAAGATTTACTGCCTCGGAAACCCAATGGGGGTCACTATGAGTAGGAATTGGCTTGCAGTGGGTTTGGTTTTGGTTTTATTGGTTTCTGTACTTACCATCCTAATCTAGGATCTCATCACCTAATAACACTTCCCTTCTCTCTGCCTTTGGCTTGTTCAATGCCATGTTCATTTTTGTTGTAGCCAAAAACAGTGCTGTGTATGTGAATGCATGAATGGATTTGGAAAATGTTTATTTAAAAATGAATCAGAAAAAAAAATTGACAAAAAATATAATGACGCAGTTTCTTTGATACTAAATTTTGGTTATCTAGGATATATGTTTCAGATATAAAAGTTCTAACAAAACAAATTGTCATTGTTAAGTACTGTCAGGTCAGCTCTGACTCATAGCAACCCTGTGTACAACAGAAAAAACTTACCACCTGGTCCTGTGCCATTCTCACTATCCTTGCTATGCTTGAGCCCATCAAGGCAGCCACTATGTCAGTCCATCTTGTTGAGGATCTTACCCTTTTTTGCTGACCCTCTGCTTTTACCAAGCATGATACCCTTCCCTAGGAACTGCTCCCTTTTGACAACATGACCAAAGTAGGTCAGATGAAATCTGGCCATTCTTGCTTCTAAGGAGCATTCCAGGACAGATTTGTTCGTTCTGGCAGCCCATGCTTGGTATTTTCAGTATTCTTCACCAATACCACATTTCAAAGGCATCAATTCTTCAGTCTTCCTTTTTCATTGTCCAGCTTTTACATACATATGAAGCAATTGAAAATACCATGACTTGGGTTATGCACACTTTGGTAGTTAAGGTTGTTACATAAGGTTGTGTCAACTTGGCTGGGCTGTGGTTTTGAGTGGCTAGGCAGCTGGATGTAATTATTCCTCATAATGAGATTATAATCACCTCCGTGGTGAAATCTTCTGTGTGCAGCTGAGTAGTTGTCTTTGGGGTGTGGCATAAGGAGAAACTTTGAGAAAGGTCTTTAGCTTTTTGGCATATCTGGATCCTACATTTGGCCAAGTCTTCCTTCATCTCATTGGCCTACTGTGTTGCCTGCTAATCTTGGGATTATTCTTAGGCTCAAACCAGAAGTCTTGACCTGTTGCCTGTTGATCTTGGAATTGTGCCATTCTGCTTGTGGATGGACCTTGGTCAGCCTCAGCAGCCAGTAGCTGCATGAGTTACAAGTGTCCAATTCCATTGGGCCTGGATTAAGAGGCAGAGCTGAAGCCCAAGGTTGAGGGGCCTTCACCAACCAAATTCACTCTGAATTTGGACTTCTAGTCTGCTAAACTCTAAGAGAATAAATCCCTATTTGTTAAAGCCATCCACTTGTGGTATTTCTGTTATAGCAGCACTAGAGAACCAAGACACATATCTTAGTCTTCAAAGTGGCAACTTTGCTTCTTAACATGTTAAGGAGGTCTTTTAGAGCAAATTTGCCCAGTACAATATGATGTCAGATTTCTTGACTGCTACTCCCATGGGTGTTAATTGTGGATCCAAGTAAAAGGAAATCCCTGAGAACTTCAGTCTTTTCTCCATTTATTGTGATGTTGCTTATTGGTCCACTTGTGAGGATTTTTGCTTTATGATAAATATAATCCACCATTCACCTGTCAGTTTGTTGTACCTTGGTGGCTTGCATGTTGTGAGGCTGGAAGCTATCCCACCAGTATTTCAGATAACAGCAAGGTCACTCATGGTAGATAAGATTTAGCAGTGCTTCCAGACTTAGATAGACTGGGAAGAAGGACAAGTGTCATCCACTTCTGAAAAAAATTGGCCACTAAAAACCTTATGACTAGCAGTGAAACAAAAAAATTAAAGGACTGAATGAAATTTATCCTGTGATGATTCACACACAGGATCATGTATTCTATCTGCTACATTATCCTGTGGCAGCGGTGACCAGCAGTGCATGGGACACTCAATGGCACTCAAACCTTATGCAACATTCCCATATTACAGCTTCCCAATGAGGTCCATAATGTGGCCTTTCTGCTTGAATGGCTTCCTCTAGCACCCTAATGAACAGTTTCTTCCAGCATCGCCAAGGACAGCTATTCAGCAAGCTCTGTTGGACATGCTTGGGTGTGTTCTCCACAAGGCTGAGAGCTTATCACTGATAGGGATAGCCCTCTTACAGATTGTTCCTTTCTTGGTGCTCTGCATTAGCTCTAGAGGTAGTGACTGCACCCCATCTGCTGTCTCTTTACCTCTTAGTAGTTACTCACCTGTTAAAATTAAGAATTCTTTATATTAAACTTTCCTTGTTCAAATTACCATGTGGGTGGTTTCTTTCTCCTAACTGGGCCTTGACTGAGATACTGGGTTTATAATTAGTACTTTCCTCATGAGAGTGTTACAAGGATTAAATGGGATAATACATTCAAAGTGTTTAGAATAGTGTCTGCTGTAGAATGAATACTTAATCGATGTTTGTTGATAATGTGGATGATATCGCTATCATCCTCTTCACTGCTGCCACTATTAGCTAGAGGTAATATTTCCATTTTTTGTCCACAGGATGTTTCGTCTTAACTCACTTTCTACATTGGCAGAACTGGCTTTGGGCTCTCGATGGTACCATGGGGGATCACAGCCCACTCAGGTCAGGAGACGACTAATGATGGTGGCTTTCCTTGGAGCATCTGCAGTAACTGCAAGTACTGGTCTTTTGTGGAAGAAGTGAGTATTAGCTTTATATCTTGTTCTTAGCATGTACTCTTTGTTCTTCCATTTGTCTCTGTTAATCGGAAAGGAATTGATTTCTGGCTTAAGAATTTCATGCCCAAATGATTTGGCATGGATAATATTTGTCTATGAAATAAGATGTTTAAAAGAATTCAGCTATCATGCCAGGACAATAAATAGGAAACATTCTGCTTCAAGGTCTACCTGTCTCCTCTGCTGAACATTTTTATTAATGGTATAGAGTTGGCAGTAGTAGCTTTAGAAAATGAATGCTTTCTGAGACTTCAGAATTATAGTTCGGTGCTTAACCATTTGCATCACCCAGGGACTTTTGTGTGAAGTTAACTAATGGACCTTAATACTCTTGCCATCTCACAATTTTCTTATTAGTTATTAAAACTTTCCTAGAGGAAAAAGAAAAAGTGATGATCCCTAATCTTCTCTTTCTTAACATACATAGGTACTGCTCCCTGACTTTGCTACTCCCCATTTTTTATCTTTGACCTGGTTTACCTTGTCCTAAAGTTCTATCATTGTATTTGATTATTTCAAGAAGAATACTTTGTTTTTAATTAATTCTACTGAAGAATAATTTATATAAAACAGAATGCACACCCATTTTAAGTACACGGTTGGATGAGTTTCGACACACGTATATAATTGTGTAATAACCCATAAGTCAGGATATAGATCATTTCTATGAACCCATCGAGTTCCCTTTATTCCATGTGTCTTTCCATTCATTCTCACACCACCCAGTGTTCCAGGCAATCAGTAATCTCTTTTGTTGTTACTACAGATTAGTTTTGCTTTTCCAGTATTTAATGTAAATGGAATCATAAATGCAACTATTTTTTGAACGTGGCTTCTTTCAAATACAGCCTAATGCTTTTGAGATTAATCCATATCAGAAGTTTGTGTCTTTTTAAAAATTTTTATTGTGATTTGCATGAAAGAGAGCATTCATTTTCCATATAGCAGTTCATACACAGTTTGTTTTATTATATCGACTGCAATTCTCCACAACATAGCAGCTCTCTTCCCACTTCCTCCTTGTACTTACCTCTTCCCTGTTTCCTTCTCTCCTTTGCATTCCTGCCCCCTGAGCTATCTCCCTATGCAAATTCTGCCCTTCTGTTCTCTCATGATTGATTGTTCTAAGGACTGTATCTACCTGATGTAAATGTTCACCCTGTATACCCCTCTGTTGTTTGGCTGGAAACTACGGGAGTGAGTTCAATTCCAGACCTGAAGCATAACTAGGGGCCATAGTCTTGGGGTGGGAGGTCTCACGAGGCTCTATCAGACCAGTAAACCTGGTCTTTTTTATGATTTTGGGTTTTGTTCCACATTGTTCTCCCATTCTATCCATGATCTCCTTCACTGATCCCTTTCTGAGTGATTGACAGTGTAGCCAGGCACCATCTGGCTTTTCTGGTCTCACGGTAATGTAGGCTGAGGTTTACATGGTCCACTAGTCCTTTGGACTAATTATTTCCATGCATCTTTGATTTTCTTCATTCCTCATTGCTCTGGATGAGGATAGACCCATTGTTGCATGTAGCCCAATGCTACTCACCAAAGTAGGAGTTTGTGTCTCTTTTATAATTGGATGGTATTTTTTTGTAGAAATATATCACAATTTGTTTTCTCATTTACCAGTTGAAGGACATTTGGGTTGATTCCAATTTTTTCACTATTACTAATAAAACTGTTGGAAAATTCATGTGTAAGTCTTCATTTCTTGTTTAAAAACCAAAAACCAAACTTACTGCCGTTGAGTCAGATCCAACTCATAGCAACCTCCTCGTTTGAACTGCCAGCCTTCTGGTTAGTAGTCACATGCCTTAGGCACTACACCACCAGAGCTCCCTCATTTCTTGTATATACTTGGTCATATACTAAGTATATATTTAATTTTATGTGAAATTGTCAGTTTTCCAATGTATCTGTACCATTGCATTCTGCTACCAGGAATGCAAGAGACTTTAACTTGCTCACCAGCCCCTAGTATTGTTATTGTTTTGATGTTAGCATTCTAGTGCATCTGTTCTGGTCTCTCATTGTGGGTTTAGCGTGTATTTCTCTCATGCCTAATTATGCTGAGTGTCTTTTCCTGTGCTTATTGTCATTTTTGTGACCTCCCTTATGAAGTATTTATTCAAGTTGCCCATTTAAAAAAAAAAAATGAGTTGTTTGCCTTCTTATTGAGCTGTAAGAGTTCTTTATATATTTTGAATGTAAGTCCTTTGTCATATATATATTTATTATGAGTATTTTCTCCTAGTCATTAGCTTGCCTTTTTATTTCCTTAACAGTGTCTTTCAAAAAACAGAAGTTTTTAATTTTGATGAAGTCCAGTTTACTGATTTTTTTTTTTTTTTCTTATATGGTTAGTGCTTTTGATGTCTTATCTGGGAAATCTTTGCCTATCCCAAGATGTAAAGTTCTTCTCTTGTATTCTTTTTTATAAAAAATTATCTGGAATCAATTTTGAGTTAATTTTTATGTTTGGTGTAAAGTAGAGTCTGAGATTCTTTTTCACCCTCAGTATGCATATCCAATTATTCCAGCATCATTTGTTGAAAGACTATCCTTTTATCACTGATTTATGTTAGTGCTTTTGTTGGAAAATAATCAACAGTATACATATGGATTTATTCTGGACTCTGTATTCTGTTCCTTTAACCTATATATTTCTCTTTAAGCCAGGGTGGAATATCTTGAGTACTATGATTATATTTAAAAAAAAAAAATCTCACTGCTATCGAATGGATTCCGACTCATTGTGACTCCCATTGGGTTTCTGAGGTGGTAAATCTTTATGGAAGTAGGTTGCCCCATCTTCCTTCAGCTGCTCGGTTTGAACCGACATCCTTCTGGTTAGCAGTCAAATGCCTTAGTTGCTGCACCACCAGAGTTCCTTATGATTATATAAACCAAAAAAAACCAAGCTTACTGCCATCGAGTCGATTCTGACTCATAGTGACCCTCTTTGGGTTTCCGAGGCTATAAATCTTTATGGAAGTAGATTGCCCAGTCTTCCTTCTGCTGGTGAGTTTGAACTGCCGCCTTTCTGGTTAGCAGTTAGATGCCTTAGGCACTATACCATCAGAGCATAGCAAGTATTAAAAACATGGCATTTAAGTCCTCTAAGTTTATTGTTCTTTTTCAAGTTTTTTTTTCCCTTTTACATTTAGATCTTTGCATTTTCACATAAATTTTATAATCAGCTTATCTTTTCTACAGAGGGCCTGCTGAGACTCTGAATGGGAATGTATTAAATCAATAGATTAATTTGGGAAAAATCAACATCTTAACAATATTGAGTCTTTTATTCCTTGAACATTGTGTTCTTATCCATGTATTTAGATCTTTAAAATTTCTCTCAGCAGTTCTTTATGGTTTTCAGTGTATAGCTCGTACACATATTTTTAAATTTATTATTTTTTTGTGGTAACAGCTTTATTGAAATATAATTTACATGCCATATAATTTACCTATTTCAAGTGGACAATGCATTGGTTTTTGTATATTCACAGAGTTGTGCAACCATCAGCACTTAATTCTAGAACATTTTCATCAACCTCAACAGAACTCCCATACTCATTAGCAGTTATACCAGTTCCTCTCACCGTCTTCCCCAGCCCTAAAAAAACCAAACCCAACTCACTGCCATCAAGTAAATTCCTACTCATAGCAACCACCATTGGGTTTCCAAGGCTGTAAATCTTTACAGAAGTAGATTGCCTCATCTTCCTCCTATGGAGCAGCTGATAGGTTTGAACCTCTGACCTGGTTAGCAGCCAAATCAATCACTAATCTACTTTCTGTCTCTGTAGATTTGCCTATTCAGGACATTTCATTGAAATTGAATCATATAATATGCAGTCTTCTGTGTCTCGCTTTATTCATTTAGTATATTTACAGGGTTCTTCCCTAGTGTAACATGAATTATTACTTCATTCCTTTTTATTACCAAATAGCATTCTATTTTATGGTTGTACCACATTTTATTTATCTATTCATCAGTTGGTGAGCATTTGGGTTGTTTCCATTTTTTGGCTGTTATTTATAATACTATTATGTCAAATTTTTGTGCGGACATAAGTTTTCATTTCTCTTGGTTGTATGTACCTAAGAGTGGATTTGCTGAGCCATTGGTATTTCTTTATGCTGAGCAAATAATCTGAGAAGCTGCACTATATGAAGAAGAATGTGGCATTAGGATTAGAGGAAGACTTGTAAACAACCTGTGATGTGGAAATGATACCAGCTTGCTTACTGAAAGTGAAGAAGACTTGCAGTACTTAATGATAAAGATCAAAGACTACAGTCTTCAGTATGGATCACACCTCAACATAAAGAAAACATAAATCCTCACAACCAGACCAATAAGCAACATCGCAGTAAATGGAGAGGAAATTAAAGTTGTCAAAGATTTCATTTTATTTGAATCCATAATCAATACCCATGGAAGCAGCAGTCAAGAAATTAGACATCATATTGCACTGGGTAAATCTATGGTGAGGAATCTCTTTAAGGTGTTATAGAGCAAAGATGTCACTTTGAAGACTACCAAAAAGCAAAACAAACTGTTTGCCATCGAGTTGATTCCAACTCATAGCGACCCCTTTGGGTTTCCAAGGTGGTAAATATTTACAGAAGTAAATTGCCCAGTCTTCTACGGAGTGGCTGGTGGGTTTGAACCACCAGCCTTCTGGATCTTAGTCAAATGTCTTAGGCACTATGCCACCAGAGCTCCTTAAGGTGTGCCTAACCCAAGCCATAGTATTTTTAGTTGCCTCGTATGCATGTTAAAGCTGGGCAATAAACAAGGAAGACCAAAGAAAAATTGATGCTTTTTTTTGGTGTTGGTGAAGAATACTGAAAATATCATGAACTGCCAGAAGAAGGAATAAATCTGTCTCCTGGAAGAAGTGCTGCTGGAATGCTCCTTAGAATCAAGAATGACCAGACTTTGTCTCACCTGC